ATACTAGTTGTAAATCAGGTAAATACAATAATAGTCATCATCTTTATTATGCACCTTTGTTTCCGGGTTGGTTTGAGGAACCTGAACTAAGGATTCGAAGGAGGTTACTTCACTTAACACGTAAACTCGCAGAAGATGATTGCCTTGAAAGCTATCGAGTAATCTTTAAGGAATGTAAAATAGGGTTGGTGGGTTGCTGCAATGGATTGTTATGTTTTTGTGAATTAGCGAGAGGCGTCGGTGATGTCTACCAATGCAATCCGGTTTTAGGTCAGTTTAGGGTTCTACCAAAGTGTATATTTGACCACTTATATGGACCCGAAAGCGAAAGTAGGTTATTAGTTGCATTCTTCTTTGATGATCACGACAATGACCATAAAGTTGTGAAAATCATACATGGTTTGCGGGTTTTGATCCCTTGAAGGTTGAAATATTTAGTTTGAGGAGTAACTCTTGGAAAACATTTAGCCCCTCAATTATTCCTCACAATCAGATGCGTTGCTGCATATCTTGTTTAAATTCTTTCACAACAAAGTTGTTGGTTGATAATGATAGGATCTATTGGCTGGCTCACGTGCTTTTGCGTGAGGAATAACCTTGTGTCATGATGATCCTTGACGTAAACAAAGAAGAATTTCGAGTAATTCCATGCCCTAGTTTTCCCCCTGAAGTTCACATTCCAATTAGTATCTTCCTAATCAAAGTGTCCGTTGCTATATTTGATTGGTATGTTACCCATAAATTCGAAGATAGCGAGGTTTGGGTGTTGGAAGAGGATGCCATTAATAGTGATGAGCAGTATTGGGTTCCCAACAAGGATACTAATCGGAATAAATTCTGGAAAAAGTTTGTTTTTCCTGCAGATTGTCAACCTCAACTCCTTCTCCCCTATAGAACAACTGGATTTACAATCAGCACAATGAGACTAATAGCTCTATGATTGAGCGCCGTCTTATTTTTGATGGTCGTGCCCTATCCTAGATAATAAGGCATCATTATGTTATAGCTGATTATGTTCCAAGCTTAATTTCGATAATGCCGCTCCTTCTACGGTTGATGTTAAAGATGGAGAAGTCGGTGATGATGAAAAAAAGCTCCGGCCAGGAAGAATCGGAAATTCTTGCGTATTCAAAGCTCTTAAGTGTTTAGCGGCACCTATTTTATGTCGTTTGTTCATGAATTGTTTTCTCCCAGTGAAGAATGTGTAACGAAAAAAACCTAGCTTTGTTATACTTTCATATTGGTGAATTATCCTCTCTTTGGTCTATATTATTATAAACTATGTTCTTAAAGTGAATTTGATTTTTAAGCTGCCAACCCAATAAAAGTAAAGACTCCCATCCAGCGAATAAAGAACATGGTCAGACAAATTTGTTATTTCTTATAATAATTAAGTAAGCTTGAAAAAGGGGGAAAAAAAAAAGAAAAGAAAAAGAGATATGAAAACAAGCGTTATTGAGATGAAATGCAGGGTGAAATTTGAGAGCTGGTATAAGTAATACTGAAAGATTAAAGAAGCTGGGAAAGCTTGCAGACAAGATGACAGGCATTACAGAGATTCTTCAATCAACTTGAGGCTCTTTATGGTGAAATTCAGCAACAACAATGGTTGATTACTGGATTTCCTCGATGAATGGTCTAGTTCTTCTCACATATCTTTTTGTTCTTGAAACCATTTAAATCCTTGGAACACCAATGTTTAAACGTACAAAAAGGAACCACAATGTTTTATCATAGAGCTAACATACACGAAGCTTAAAGACTATGTAAGGAAGATCAAAGGCTAGTTACCATAGTCATGGATGGAATTTTCTTTTTATTCAGCATCTTCTTTATGATTATCCGCTTCAAGACACTTTTTTTTTTTTTTTTTTTTTTGAATGTGGAACGCAAGTTTCCGGGTTCCAGGATAAACCGAATTGTGGGCTCATTCTCCTTAGGCAGTTCAAGCAGTTCCATATAAGCTCGTCATCGTCATCATCAAGACAAATCCCTCCAAATTTGTTTTGGTGTCACTTAACAATTATTGTCCTTGGAAATTAGATATTGTCTCATCTGACCACTGATTTGAATTGTGTTAATGTTGTTATTAAGGTATGGATTGAGCTTCTTTCTATTATGAATGTTTTGATGTTCCATTCAATTAATTCATCATGTGGTTGATGGTATCCTTTTCAGATGCATTAATTAGTAAGATTTTTCAATTAATCAAATACAGTTTTTTGTCCAGAAACCGTTTTCTTCTTCTTTCTTCGCCATAAAAATGTTACATCAATAGGTTTATTACGGCATTGTAAATTTGTTATAGTTGTTCAAATGACAAAATGATACTAGTTTCTCAAAAGAAGAAAAAAAGACAAAATGATACTAGACTATTTCCACGCTCAAAAATTACTATCTAATTTAACATAAACAGAAAAGTAAACGTTACGAATCGTTTTGGGACTAATGGTGTATAATATTAGTGTGCTTAGTTTTTGTAACTGAGGAAAACATGTAGTTAAAGTTGAAGGGTTTTCCAACAATGTGAGCCGAATCCCCTGCCCCGACCTTAATTGCTCCGAGTTTCTAAAAACGGATGATCTCCAGGTTCTTGTCAGCCCAACGGTGTTCGTCAGAGGTCGGATGCACTTTGTGTGTTCACGTTGGTCGGAACTTGTGTTCTTGGCTGGGTTGTTCCTTTGATGATTCTGGGGAACTAACTTTCCTACGTTCGTTATTTTACCGTAATGCTGGAAGAACTATGACAGATTTTAGAAAGTCACATGAATTCAACTTGTAAAAAGTAAAATGAAATCTCAGGTTGATTTTAGTTTTAAACATCATGTAAATTCAAATTGTATGATGCTGTGCATGTGTATGGCCTTCCGATTTGTGTGCATTAATAATAATCCGTTTTGTAAAATGTCTAAAACAGTATTACAAACGGTGAAACGATTAAAGCGAGAAACTGAAGGACTATGATAAGTATTTTCTTTAATCCATAATATATCATCATTAACCTTTTCATTTGGAGGTCGTGTTTGAGTTTGTTCGTATACATTTGACAAAGACAGTACCAATTACGAAAACTACTTCAAATGATCTTAAGCCTAATATTGTAGTCATGTTGAAATTATTGATAAAAAAACGTGTGTGAATGCTTAATATAAACTTTTTTAACAAAATAAATGCGTCCAGTGTAGATTTGATCATGAAATTTGGAGTTATAGAACAACGTCCTTTGCGTTTTATGACAAAGAACTATAAATTTTAATATCGAACAGTATCAATTTTTGCAACAAAATTATCATTTTTCATGGCAAAAAATTATAAATTTTCATATTTTATAATGTCAATTTTGTGACTATAAATATGCGTTTCTCAAAACAAAAAAAAAAAGCATATATTAATTTTAACATCAACTAGAGTTATATTATTACACATATATAAGGGAATACATAGTACTTCAGACAACTTCATATGTCTACGAAATTTTTCCATCTCAACGCACGCCAAACATATATCCATTATTTTTATTTTCAAACATTCATAAACCAAACATGGAAAACACAACCTGCGTGCACTATAATAGCAGAGGAAAAGTAACAATACCAAGCTCTACCAGATTTTTGACCCAGCAAATTTGGAGGATATAGATGAACGGGTTCTATGAATCCGGATCGATTTCATGACCCGAAAAATAATTCCGATGAACCTAAAAAATAGAAATTGTGCCCACTTATTAATTTAAGAAGTTAGAATAAGTTGTAAACAGAAATTTTTAAAAAAAGAAAAAGAATACAAGTGAGATTAATTAGGTGAGAGACTGAGATGGAACGGGGAGAAAAGAAAATAGAAATCACGAATTTTAAAGTTTGAACTCAAAAAAAACAGAAGAAAAAAAAATTTATGGTCCTGGGAAAAAAATAACATTTTCGGGAAACTCTTCAAATATTTTTGGAACATGAAGAGTGGAACTCAAAATTTATAGATCACACACAATTCTCAGTTTCTCACCCCAGGTCTTTTTAAAATTTCACTCAAGGGTTTTTTTTTTCCTATGATAACCCTAAGCATTAAACTATGTGCCTAAACAACCCAAATTCAAATCAAAATCCTTCAATGATTTTCTTATGTGACTGCTAATTATTGCTTAGTGAATATTATTTGATCTTTCCAAAATTGTCTTCAATAAATTCACACTATTTTACTCATTCTTGCTCTCGACGTTGGTGTCTTGCTTTCCATGAGCATTCATCTCTCATCTCCGGAAAAGCACAATTTTCATAGTCTTGCTCTATCTTCATGGTTGTTTATCTCTCAACCAGAAAGGTGCAATTCACCACCATCACTCATAATCTTCATTATTATTCAATAATTTTATTCTCTTTCTAAATCAAGTATCAAAATTAATCCTATCTTTTCTAAGCCTAGAATTCGAGAGCTACTAGCTAGACACTCATTTCAAATAAAACAAAAACCTGTTGTTATCCAAAATCAAAATATAGTCTTTTCACCCGTCTTTCCACTATTCATCCACAATACAAGGAAAAATTGAATCCAAATACCCATTAAATCAAGGAAGGAAATATCAATAATCATAACTTTAGACAAAAAAATAAAAAATAAAAAAATCTACTGCTAATTGGCTCCAAATCAGATTCGCTCCTCAAAGAAGTTCCCTGGAGAAATTAAAAACTTGAAATCCTAAGGTATGGAAACACGGGAGAGAGAAAGATGCAAAAAAGTGTAATTGTTATCAAGTTAAATTAATGGACTTTGAAATATTATTTTGGGGATATGATTTGAGTTTAGGTTATCTAAGGATATAGTATTAAAGATCATTGGGAACTCTTCGAAATCTACATTTCAAACAATCATATACCATACATAAAGTTATCCATGGAAAATTGTATAGTCCCTAAGCGTTGATTTTGACAAGACAATTCAGTTAAATTATACTCAAATTACGTAAAACCTTAAAATACAATCTAGAAAAACAAAAGAAAAGAATCTTTCTAACCTGGAAGAAAGCTCTCCAAGGCGGCGACGGCAGCTGCAGTCAGAGATGACACAGCAACTCGTTTGACTAGGGTTTGCGCCAAATTTTGCCTACGTCCAGATGGTACGCCATTAACAATCTGTATCACTGTTGGGGTCTCGTGAAAACGGTACGAGAAGTTGAGAACTCCGAACCGACCATGAGGGTTAACCCAATTCACAAAGTACTTGGCATACGTGTGTTGATTATTGTGACGATTTCTTTCGTCGAAAAGCCGCTTCAACGGCACTAACAATCCCGCAACGTAGTAGCTATTGCCGGAAAATGAAGAAGGGTGCAACTTGATGTTGAGGGGCAGATCGCCTCGCTTCACGGCTTGGAAGCAGCGATTGTAAGGAGTCCTCACGTTCCAGCACAGGCTCCCCCCTCGCACATAGTCAACGGGAGTTGTGTACGTCGTTTCTGGTCTTCCGTTGAGGGAAACTACCGCATACACTTGCATTCTACCATATTTCTTCACGTCTACGAGATTTGTAGCAAAAATGATCGCGAGATCAAAAAACAAGCCTCCCATTTCGACTATTAAATTACTTCTCATATGAAGTTTGATCGTACTTATATGTTGTGTTGGAGGATTATTGGGAGGCTGCAATATGGAATGAAAAGTGTACAGGGGTATATATATTTGTATGTATTGCTTAAAGTCTTTCTTTTCCTTAAGAAATTATGGGAAAATATTCAGCCCAGGTGCGATCCTGACCATCCAAAGACTTTCATCCGACGGCCTGAGAATTTTGACGGGCGTCATAACATTAGCAGCTTATGGGATTAAAGTTGTAAATTCACAAATTGATTTTATTTTTCTAACTTCTTTTAAAAAACCCCATAACTCAAAACGACCATGTTTTAGGTTATCCTTTAAAGCCCTCGAACTCAAAACGATGTCGTTTTGGTTATTTTTTAGAAAAACCCCCCCACCCCAAAACAACAGTGTTTTGTCTATTATTTTTTCTTGACTACGGTTTGCGCCTCTTTTTTAATAAACCCCAGTTTTGCTACCTTCTTTTAAAAACCCCCCATGAGCCCAAATGCATTGTTAATAGCAATGGACTCTATGAGCCCAAATTCACATCACCCACTTAGGGAAAAAAAAAAACCGGGGGTTAATGTATATTACAAGATTAAACTTTGATGGTCTGACAAATTCCTCCGCAATATTCTTCAACTTACAAAATCTAGCTTTCATCTTTCTGGCGTCTGGCCTCCGGTCCATCATGGACGCGGAGATGGCTGACACCTCTCCTATGACATCGGAAATGAAAATCCAGCCACAAAAAAAATTAAAAAACAGAGACCAAACCCCTAATGAATCCCCACCCACCCTTTTGATCCAAGAGCTGCCAGATTCCTCATCTCCGATGGCTACACCCCCAAACCACACTATAGTAATTCCCCCGCAATCAGCAACCAAGACAGCTGAGGGCATCCTGTCTTTTAAAGATAGACTCCTTCAAGGCCAATCAAGCCAATTCTCTAACAATTACCACATGATAAATGTTATAGTAGAGGAGGGAGACGTCATCAATGGAGAGGAAGACAGTGTCCCCTCAACTGATTTCTCACAGAGAGTCCGCACAAAGATGGTAATTGCAATGACCTACTCAATTGTTGTGAAGCCTTTGGGCAGAGACTTCTGGCGAGACCGCCTCCAAAAGAGGCTAAAAAGATTATGGAAAATCAAGGGGTAATTAAAATATGTTGACACCAAAGAGGGATACCACTTCTTTAGACTCACCGCGGAGGAAGATTACAAATCAATTTTGCTTAATGGACCGTGGTCCTTGGATGACCATTACATCTTGGTCTTACCATGGACTAAACAGTTCAGCGTCAAGGAAGACAACATCAGTGCGGTGGGAACATGGATTCGCATCCCGGGTCTTCCAATTGATTATTTTCATGAAGATCTGCTTAAAAGTGTGGCAAAACCCATTGGAAGATATCTCAAATCGGACAAAAACACCATTACCGTTGAAAGGGGTCAATTCGCTAGGATAGCGGTGGAATTAGATTTGACCAAACCACTAGTCGGAAAAACCAAAGTCGATGGCAAATTCTACACCATTGAGTATGAAGACCTCCAAAGAATCTGTTATACCTGTGGGAGGTATGGTCACCTCAAAGAAGAATGCTCCAAAAGCTCGGACAGAAACCCGACTCCACCAATCGGAGAAAACCCGATTACAGCACCGACGGTCACCCAAACCAATAATCCCTGTAGCAATATGGGTCCCAGCCACGGTAAGGGAACAAAAGAAACACGAGTCAATCAAGCACATTCCCCAATGACCCCACAACGGCCACCCACAATTGGGGAATTGAGCCATGCCGTTTAAAAAGGGAGGAGATACCAAAACAACCAAGGCACTCCATTCAGGTACACCAATCAAATCAAAATCAGAACTCAACTAATCCTTTCGTTGTCTTAGCAGGTCTAGACAAAGAAACACAGGGAGCGGCCTTCCAAACCCGGGAACCTCCGCCTATTGACTCCATGTGGAACAGCAACCGCTTTGATAAACCATATACTTTCAATGCAGGACCGGTTGCAAATAATCGATCCAAACACCAGACCCAAAAACAAAGAAACCCTATACCCTCTCAACCTATGGGAAACAACATCTCTACAAAAAGGAAACCAGACCCACTAGGCTGAGAAAAGGCCTGGGCCAAAAAATCCACCAAAAATAGCCCAAACCTAAAAAAACCCCCAGATTACCACCCAAGACCAAACCAACATGTCCCCCCAACCTTTAACCCCCCCCACCAAAAATCTCCCCCAGCCCAACATCAAATACAACCCCAAAAGAGGACACCCAGAACCACACCGCTATAATCATCCCCCACCCAAACCCACCACCTCCCAAACACACCAACACCGTCGGGACACAATCGGAGGAAACCTTACCAAAAGCGGGCAAACCTGCAGACTCTTTACCAAAAGCGGGCAAACCTGCAGACTCTTCCAAATCATTCCATTTAAAACCTAAACTGCAAATCCACGATATGAATTCATCAATTCAACAAACTTCAGGGGATGAAGAAATGCTGAATGCAGAGGAAGAAGCCTACGCAAATACCCCTGATGACCTCGAAATCGACCCGGATCCAGGACCAAGTCAACAATTGGAGTTCCTGTTGGATTCCGACAGGTAATTCCAAACTCATCTCTTATTATTATGAAAGATCGTATCATATCTTAGAATACGCGCGGGTTAGCAAATAAAACCACCATCTCTGTATTGAAAGATCTGATTACTTTACATAATCCACAAATTCTGATTTTAGTCAAACCTAGAGTCAGTGGTAACGATGCAAATAATATCATCAAATGTTTGGGTTTTCCTAATTCCCACAGAGTAGAATTAGTAGGTTTTTCCGGAGGCATATGGATTTTTTGGAACAAATTTGTCACAATCCTAATCTTGGAAAATAAATGGCAGCTCATTCACTGTAAAGCTAACCTTCAAGACAACTCCACTTGTTTTGTCACATCAGTGTATGGTAGCCCTCAAAGGCTAACGAGGCGTACACTGTGGGACGACCTTGACTCTCTTGCAGATTCGATGGCTGGACCCTGGATTGTTCTAGGCGACTTTAACGCGATAACGGAAGAAGCAGATAAAATTGGTGGAAGAAGATCACAGGGTTGCAAGCACTTCGTAAGCTGGATTAATTCGGCCAACATGGCTGATTTGGGTTTCTCCGGTACAAGATACACATGGAAGGGTGGATTGATCTATGAGAGGCTAGACAGAGCTCTAGCCAACAACAAATGGAGTGATGTTTTCACCAACACTATGGTTCAGCATCTCCCACGACTTGCCTCCGATCACTCTCCACTGTCATTTCGCGAAGATTGACTCTCCACAAGCTGCATCGATGTTTTTCAGATACCTTACAACCTGGGAAACTCATGACTGTTGGAAGCAATGGCTAACGCAGAACTGGAGAGATGATATCAGTCTTCCAGTAGTCCTGAGAACTCTCACAGAAAATCTACAGGACTGGAAATTCAATATATTTGGTAACATTTATCACAGGAAAAGAAGAATTCTAGCAAGGTTGGCAGGTATTCAAAGAGCATTAGCGATCCATCATTCTGACAATCTGCTGCATATAGAAAAAGAACTAAGAGCGGAGTATGAAAGGACAACCACACAAGAAGAAATGCTAAAGGCGCAGAACCAGAGATCCTTATGGCTTCAACAGGGAAACCGAAATACAAGAATTTTCCACGCCGCACACAAAAACACATTCACAAAGACTAGAATCTCTGGAATGCAGTTGGAAAACGGCCTGTGGAGCTCTGATCCAACCGTTCTAAGTAGAGAGGCAACGGATTTTTTTAAGCAACTGTATACAGACTCTTCCGCAGATAGCAGGGCGTCATACCACATAAAGGATTGTTTCCCTTAGCTCTACCCAAGACAGATCAATCATTTATGCTCCCCAGTCCAAGAGGATGAGATTAAAGGGGCAGATCAAGAAATGGATCCATCAAAAGCTGAGGGAATCGATGGTTTTAATGCGTCATTCTACAGGAATAACTGGGAAATCATTGGACAAGCTGTAATAAGGATGGTTAAAGAAGTCTTTGATTATGGGGAGATAGACTCGAAATGAACCAAGCCATGATAGTTCTTATCCCAAAGGTTTATCCACCAGAGAGATTCCAAAATCTTCGCCCAATCAGCCTCATCAACGTATCCGCAAAGATAGTGTCAAAGGTGGTAGCAAATCGAATCAAGAAAATCATGCCTTCTCTAATCTCCCCAGCCCAATCCAGTTTCATCAAGGGTCAGTGCATTATAGATAATATAATTGTAGCTCGGGAAGCCATTCATTCAATGAGAACGGAAAAGGGCCAAAAGGGTTGGATTGCAATAAAAATCGACCTGGCGAAAGCCTTTGACAGGGTTAGTTGGAGCTTCATCGAAGACACTATGAAGGAAGCAAGACTTCCTCAAATTTTACAGAGAATCATTAAGAGCTCGCTCAAGACCGGTACCACGAGAGTGATTTGGAATGGCAAACTGGGCTCCACTTTTAAACCAAACAGAGGAGTCCGGTAAGGTGATCCCCTATCACCATATGTTTTTGTCCTGTGTAGCGAGTGACTCTCACATGCCATAAATATCGAAGTTAATGCGGGACGTTGGAAACCACTCACCTTCGATATCAACAACGCACACCTTTCTCATTTATTTTGCTGATGACCTTGTTCTTTTTGCAGAGGCAGACATTGAGCAGGTAAGAAACATCCATAGAACACTTCAACTTTTTTGTCATGCCTCGGGACAGATGATCAGCACCAGCAAATCAGTCATGTTTTGCTCACCTAACGTGGGCACAAATCTAGCCGCCCCCCTTCAGTAATTGCGTTGGCATTCAGCTGGTGGATAATATGGGAAAATACTTAGGCGTCCCAATTATCCACGTATGGCAGAATTAAAAAAGAGTTCTTCAGGCCTATCATTTGCAAAGTCAAGCAGAAAACCACATTGTGGAACC